ACAATAAAAATCTTGTAGACTTTAAATAACACGAGTGAAAACGGTTTGAAAGCCCGAGTGCTAGAAAATCAGCACTCTAAATTAAGTCTTTTTTAGACAGTTGCACATACCAAACACTGATACCATTAGTAGATAAACAATTATTCCAGTCGCAGTGTATGTCACTGGTAATAATTTAGTAAAGGTTAAAATAGAACCATATTTTAAGTGTAAGGGAACGTGTGTGGTTCGAATTAACTAGAGTAGTAATTATTTTTTGACAATCCTTTTTAGTACCATTTCACTTTAGGGTCTAGGCATTCATGGCACTCTACAACTTCCTATCCTTTGTAGTTCTAAGAAATATTTCACTCTATACAACCTCTACTAGACTCAGTTCTTTATATTCGCTCATTAGCAAGTTAACTTGATGTTTCACTCTACCCTTCCTGTCTTCAGTATATCATAGGAATTTTACTTTTTTAAGGCGTCTTTTCTAATGACGTGTCCCAGATATTTTTACTGTCTAATTCTAATTTTAAATAAAATTACATTTTCTTCCAATTTATTTTTATTAAGGCTAGATTGTTGTTCATATATTCTGTCCATGGTACTCTCAGCATCCTGCAGTAGAAACACAGCATGTTGCCTTAAATACCCTATATATGTGTGAGGAAATTGCCCAGCATGTACTACATATAGGAGGATATATTCTACATGAGAGATTCTAATTATTGACAAGGCATTTTTAAATCTATATTCCTCTGCAGTAAACGTTCCCAAACATTCCTTAATATTGTATAAGGTAATAAGATTTAAGCAACCAAAAAATATCGAACACATCAAAGCAGTATTTTCCTGTGTGGATTTTGTTAACCACCATCTTTCGAAGAATGGCCAATTGAAATTATAGTATTTAAATGAGAATCGTCTTTGCTCAACTAGAATTTCTTTGCTGTTACATTGAGGGATTTCTTTAAAAAAAAAATGCAGATATCTTAGGAAAAGCGACTTCTCTAAAGAACAATAAACATCAAGTACAAATGTTTCAATCATTATCAATGCGCGTCATGTTGTCTGCTTAACTCAAAGCCAAAGAGTACAGAATGCACTATAAAACAAAAATGTTAGAAAACAACATATGCCCGTCCATAAAATAATATAATGTTACCTCAATATTTTATGTGTTTTATCAAAGAACCATAATAGTTCCATATTCACAGAAAGAAGAACTTTGATTCTGAACTGGGATTAAAGAGATCTGACCAAGACGAAAAGAAAGAGACATCGAATGATAAAAAGAGCTTATCTATACGTATCTTTAGCACAAGGCCTCAATCCCTTGGGCACTTTATCGGAGTAAGTCCCTTTATCAAACCTAAGTCAGAAGGTAGACTTGCAACTTTGCCAAAATAAAAAGAATGACAGAAAAGAGAAGCAAATAGCAATTTGTTCAGATATATAAATATTTATTTGCATTGTCCCGATATAAATTCGCTCGATTGCTGCATGAAGAATATGTTTTTAATAATAATTAATCCGCATGTAACAAGTATTTACATATAGATTAATTACGATACAACCTGCTACTAAAGTTTTTATTTCGACTTATTCCTTTTTTTTTATCCTGACTTTCAGGTCATTCCTTGCTGTCTAATTAAAAAGCGAGGGACGAAATAAATAACCTAATTCCGAAGTTGTTTTATTTGGCATTTTTATAAGACTACGACTAAATAACAAATTTAATCTTATATCTGACGTAAATAACTTTCCAGTCTTCACAGAGATCAAAAGTTTTGATAAAGTTGAAGATCATCTTCTCGGTCTTAAGAATATATATTTTTTGTACCCTGTCCGATTCCTTTTCCTATAGACAAATCATCGCATTCCACCCTATCCATATCTCTCGGTATTTTCATGGCAAATTTTCAGAGGAGTTATATTCATTAGTTCCACAAGTTCAGAAATTCGCAGCTAAAAACCGTCACGCTATGTACACCGAGTCAAAATATCGCCATTCTCTTCATATTTCATTAGTCATCATCATCATCATCTTGCGGCCTCAGCCGAGATTGAACTCACCAATATTTTGATTTCATAATCTTGAACTCACCAATATTTTGAGTTCATAATCTTGTCAAATAGCTGAATTCTTGATGCTTCGCTAGGGCTATCAAGGGTGTATTTATCGTGACACCAACACTAAATGGATTGCCAACCAAGGCTCAGAGAGACTCCATTCACCCTCCTCTAAGAGCAGGTTTGAATTCAGAGTTTTCCTTCTCCTAGACCAGTTGCCATCAAAGGCTATAGAACCCAGTCTGTCCTGCTGGAGGGAGAAGAAAGAGGATTTCACACCTTTCCCAAGGGTATTAACACGTAAGTGAATGTAATGGATCCGACTTGAATTCGAACTCGGCTCTCCGATTCCTCAATCCAAGCCGCTATCCATTACTCCACCGTGCTTTTCATTAGTAACGTAGTAACGAGAAAGTGACAAAAGGAAATGATCTTCCCGAGAATGGCAACTTTGTGGCACAAACTCCCATCAGGATGCTTCCCTGATCACTAACCCCTTTAAATCTAGGACCAGCCATTATCTTTCCTACATATCCCCAAAATTGCCACTTCTTAAACACACCACTTACTTTCGTACAACAAACTCATTTAGTAAACTTGTGTCAAATTTGAGTTTCTCACTAGTCGAACAATTAAAAATAATCTAAGAACTCGTGTCATATTTTAAATAGCTTTGTTACATCTAGGCACTGGATATGATACGTGATGTTCATCTTGTTCAGTAACGCCTAAGCTATCAGCTGCATATAATAATTCTTAGAGATCGTTGATTAAAATGGCTTCAATCTCCTAGGTTAAAGGAAAAGACTATTTCATCAAATCTTTTAAATTCACAATACTTAACTCAAAACAAAGACATGTAACAAATAATAAAACCACATCGTTAGAATACTTCCTTATTTATTGCTACTTCCAGTAGCAACAACTAAAATAAATAGAAGATATAACGTTAAAGGAAAATAAGGATCAAGTTATCGGCCTTCAACGTTATCTCAAACATCAGGTAAGGCAGGAAACTCACATCAGTAATAGAAAGAGCGATAACAGCTACTGGACTTGAGGAGCCTATTTTCCTGAATAATTGTTTTAAGGGAATGATATTATAAGTTTCAAATGGCAGTATCGATATTTGGTCACTGAATGCCGATAGTTACCTGTATGAAAATAACTAATAATTTGATTTTTTTTTGTCTTCATTTTCAAGTAACACGGTTAAATTCGTAAAATCAAGGTAAGAATGAGGAAGACTCATCACAACAACTTCCATGAAACTATTCATAGAAAAGACAGAGCAAAGCTACCTTACGGCGGTTGGACAGGTGGGATGGCTGGTGATGTTGCAGATACTTTTATTGTGCCAAGAACCTCTAGATGCATGGCGGAAGCACCAGACCATATGTGACAGCGGTATTCAATTCACAGACAAATGGCAAACTAATAAAGACATAATATAGATTCTGGCAAGGAAGATTGTCTAACAGGGCACATTGAACTAACTTTCATAGCAAGAAAGAGAACGCCCTAACTGATGTAATAGTCATGGACACCCTTTCAATATCACTATATACCACCATTCTGTTTTTCCTTTTTATTAATAACCTTCCCTCCTTGATTAAATGACAACTGACTAAAAGTTCAGTTAGTACTCTCTTTGATTCATTTCTAATATGTTTTTTGTTATCACTGAAACGATTCTTAGTGTAATACAATTATTTAAATGCTCCATTAATTGACAGAATCCATTTACTATTAACAATTACTGTTATATAAACTTTAACGTCTTTATTTATTTTTAATGTTTTCATTTGTTTAGCAATTGTGACAGAGGTTTGGAGTTAGAACAAAGTAGAAAAGTAAGCGATTTTTAAAAAAAAATATATACCTTCATCGCGTATGAGACACAACACTCCACATCTTCCTTTGTCTTTCACTATCTGTCCGCTGCTGACATTTTTAGTGAGATAGCGGAGATGTCCCCGTTGTTTTCTTCAAAATTTGAAAGCCAGGTTTTTTCTTTTTTAGACGGGTTACCACCCAAATGTAGAGACGCCAGGCTATGCTGCTAAATGGCGTATAGATTTGATAAGCGAGAAGATATTTATTTGAATTTAAACGCTATAGGCATGGTGGAGTAATGGAGAGCGGGTCGGACTGAGGAATTGGAGAACCGAGTTCGAATTCCAGTCGGATTTATTACATTCACTAATACCATTGGGGAAGGTATGAATCTAGCTATGGGTATATGTAGCTGGGTGGCAACCGGTGGAAACTCAAGCTATCTTGGTCAAGATACCGCTTCTACTGCGGCTTCAGTACATGTGGGATGGAAACTCAAGCTATCTTGGTCAAGATACCGCTTCTACTGCGGCTTCAGTACATGTGGGATGGAAACTCAAACTATCTTGCCCGAGATACCACGTCTACTGCGGCTTCAGCACATGTGGAGTGGAAACTCAAGCTATCTTGCCCAAGATACCACGCCTACTGCGGTGCCCTTACCCACCATTAACGCTATAGACCGGATTTCGGATTCGACTCCATTTTCGGTGCCGATATCAGTTAAACGACACACAAATTCAGTTTTATTTATAGTGCAATATTTCAGATCAATGTATCTTTAAGAGAATACAGGAAATTTTAAAAAAACAACAAGTATTTGTTAACATTTGAAACGTTACGCTTCTGCCAATTGAAAATAACTCAATTCAAATTAATGTCCACTCTATATGATTCTAATCTAACATTATGCATTTGCTGAACAAAGCAAACTTTGAGGTTAATAGGCAATCTTTCTGATAAATGAGACTTTACTTTTGTATCTAAGCAGCTGAACTCTAAACAAATCTACATGGTGATGTGAAGAAGATTACCGGAATTCAAAAAGAAACGAGATTGGGTTATATTAACGGTAAATGAGATGCCATTTGATGATATGCAAATATCTAGACAGAAAGGTTCATCGTGGCAAAAACCAGGGTACAGACATTTTGACATACGCATAAAGTATGGATAAATAAAACAAATAAAGAGACAAAATGAAAGAGAGAGAGAGAGAGAGAGAGAGAGAGAGAGAGAGAGTTAAAAGACGAAAAAATCACAAATCGTTTGTTGCTTTCTTCAGTCCAGTTGGTAATCACGCTGAAATATTGATTTACGTTTGATCAGTGAAGTTAAGCAGTGTCCAACCAGGTCAACACATATATGGGGACCACTTGGAGAAACCGGGTATTGTATGTAGAAAAATGGTACAAAAAGTGTGTGTATGGAGATAGCCACTTCACTCCGTAAAACTTCACTTGCTATGCAAACCACAACGGCAACGCCTAGCGTTGTCGGGAGCGGTGTCCCCAGGTACCCCTCAGATGAGTCTACGGGACTAAAGTATGTACGAGGAGAACAGTATATCGATAGATATACATACAATTTCACTGAGACCGAGAAGTATCAAGAGATATAAATATAATAGATGTCGCCATCCACTCCGGCAGAAGATTTTGGCAGAAAAAGACTCCCGAGGCGATGTTTGGATTAAGGCTGATCCTGATTGCCCTCTCAGCCACTGAGTGCAGATTCAGGTCACTGGACCAGACGCACCGCTGTTGCAAGGGTGGGATAGAGGTTTCTATCAGAGGTAGGAATAAATAAGAGAAATTATATTAGGATTCAGAAATCCCTTGCCTCATTTGATTGGGAAGATTTTCATTGTTTTGTTACGTCTTTTTTTGCGAGACAGAGTCAAAGAGTTTTATGTAATCCTTTGAAAACGGATGTACCTGAATATGGATGAACAGAAAAAAAAATCCTTTAAGAAACTTTCTTTTTCCTTTTCAGGAAACGTGGTTTATAACTGGTGCTGAGAAATCCTTGATTTTCAGCATTTATACGGCCTTGTTTTCGATTATCTTCGAACATTTACATATTTTCTCTCAGAAAATATGGTGTGTGTCTCTCGTTAACTTACCGTTAATTTCACGGCAAATCATCAGACGATATACATTCTGAAGTACTGTTCATTATATATATACGAGTTGCAACAGTAATTCTTTTTCAAATCGTGTTACAGCATAATTGTCCATCCCATAAAATATTTAATACCTAAAAAACACTAAATTAATTGAGTTTATTTTTTCCAGGTTTTTAGATAAGACGTTTAGAATTCTTGATTTCATTTAAGAATCACTGAAAAATCTTTTGAGTTATTCATGTTAAAATCGTTTTATGTCAGGCCATTGTTATCTTAACTGAACAAGGTGAGAGGGAAAATCATTCAGGCCTTCAGTAATGGTACCAACATTCATAATTTGGATTCCCTCTTCTAATTCTATTCGGGAAGCATCAAGAGAAAGGAGAATAAGTTTAAAAAAGAGAGAACAACAGAGAGGGAAACTGGATCAGGAGGTCACAACAGGAAGAGGGATCATTATTTCAACTCAGAGATAAAGCGATCAATTAGAAAAGATCCAACTGAATCCAAAAGACGTCTGGCACGTGAAAGAGGAGTTTCACCTATGACAGTTTAAAGAGCAGTGAAAAAAAAAGCCTTAAAATTTAAATCGTACGTGAAACGTATGAGGAATCTTGTTGCTTCAGAACAGAAATGAGGTTAGCGAGGACGAAAACCATCTTGAATAAGTTAGAAAATGAACCTGGAATAATATATATATATATATATATATATATATATATATATATATATATATATATATATTATTTCAATCTTGCATGGAATTTCGATTTTTATCTATGATTAATTAATGAAGAGATGTCATTTTCGTTTATGATTGATTTCATCACGATTTTTCTGTTAAGGTTGAAGAGTAATTATAAATAATTATTTCTCAAAGTAGAGCTCAATAGTATTTTAAAAACATCGGAGGATTCAGTAAGATACCTTTAACCATTTCTAAGATACAGCAATTTAGAGCTTAACCTGACAATTGAACAATATGACTGTTACACACGGTGTATATATATATATATATATATATATATATATATATATATATATATATATATATATATATATATATAAGGCAGAATGCGTGTGTTTAACGAATGCAAGGCCGTCATTTTCGACAGATTTGCACCAAAATTAACATGCACGTGCTCCAAGTTAGTGGGAAGGCTAAAACCGATATCGCATTTCCCAACTCCCATCGATAGTGGAAATAATCGATTTTTTCATGTTTCTACGGAAGTTTTCATGTAGTTTGCGGCAATTTTATTCTGGCTAGAGTGAGCGCTAATAGCTGGCTGCCACGAATAGGCAGGAAAATTCTATTGGCCAGCGTGAGAGCCAACAGCTGACTGGCACGAATCTTAACTAGCATGCAAACAACAAAATCGATAGCTGCATTCGTCACAAGTGGGAAAAATTTAAATCTGCATTGAACTTTACGCCAATTGACTCATTCGATTGCTTAAACTCAACGTTGATTCTGATTCAGCAGAACTGGGTTCGGTGTGAAAAAGTATTTGTTGATAATATTCTTTTTTCATTCGGTTTTTTCTGTTATGAGTCCATTTTTTTAAAGCTGGTCGTTTTGTGTTCATTTTGTTTAGTTCTTTTTTCGTAACATATTTAATGTTTAGAATAGAGCTTAGATAGAATGTTCAGTGAAGATAGATAGAGAATTTATCAATCCCTTATTTAGGTAGATATTTGATAGATACAAGAGGAGAGGAAAACGGCAGAGATTGTATACTGAAATATAGATGGCTGTAAACAGATAGATAGATAGATAGATAGATAGATAGATAGATAGATAGATAGATAGATAGATAGATAGAATGATCGATAGATAGATGAGAAAAGCACTGAAAATGATAGTGTACTGAAAGTTAGATGAAAATAAGTTCGTCACATACCTAAATCAATTAATGCCTTCTTTCATTTGTCTGAATGTACGAGAAATTTAAATTTACTTCTTCAAGCATTTAAACGTATGTAATTATCACGCGTTATACAGAAATGTTTTAAAACGATTCTTAATTGACGGTTGAATCCGATAACACCCTGACCCCAAACGAAAAACATCTGAAAATGTACTGCGAACAATTCATTTGCTGTTTATTGCAAACAATCGGTTTTTATTCCTGCTGTATTCCCGAAAGACCAACTGTCTGAAAAACAATCGCTTTCTTCTGATTCTGATTGTCAGATATTTTTCCGATGCCGCTCGTTTCCGGCTGTCAAAACAAACATTTCCAAACGTCAGGCCATTACTGTTTCGATATTGAAGAAGTGGGGAGCGGAAGGTGATACTGTTTTATTGAAAGCGCAATTTCAAGAATAAGTACAGTTTGACATCTCTTAGCAAATAGCGACTTCGATGTAACAATTGTTAGGAATGCTAAACAGTATTTTTAAGGGGCAAACACATGTAAATAGTTGCAATTAATCCAAATAAAAGAAATTCAGTCTTTTATTTTAAAACTTTTCTATTAAGGAAACGATCATAACTGAAAAAGGAGAATATGCAGATAAATGTTTACGTAAATATTTTAGTTGAAAAAATATTGACACATATGCTTATATAAAGGTTTTACTGTATTCGTTTATTTTAACCGCTGCCTTTTTTGACTGTGATGGAATAGTTCAAAACATTATTATTTGGCAGAGTCTTTATTTAACTCTATTATTTCATATAGGAATTGGAGAGCCGAGTTTTAATTCCAGTAGATTCCACGTGCTAAAGATACGTGCTAATACCTTTTGGAAAGATATGAATCCTCTTCTTCTCCCCTCCCCCAGCTATGAGCAAATAGCAGGGAAGACCGTGTTCTATAGACTTGGGTGGCAACTGGTCTACCGCTGAAAGTAATGACAGGAAAAAAATCTACCTCGTTAGTCATGTATCAAAAGATACACGATCGCCTACGCTTGTTTTACGCATGGCACATAACTGACTGAGTGATTTCACATGTACAGACGATATTGTGTCGATGAAGGTCACAGAAAGAAATCGGGAAGAACCCTAGCAAAAAGAAAAGGCTAACTGGCGTAAGATGACCGACTACACGATGTCTGATCAAAAAGTATCAGGACTGGTGTTATAAATAGAAAACGACAATTCGTAAGTTAAAACTCCGTCGAAGTAATCGCATTCTGAAACGGCATAATTTATCAGGCTTCATTTAAATTGATAAAAGTTTTCCTTGAGCGCCTTTTATTTGTGATAGCAGTCAAATGCATCATTGCATTCTCTTTGATTTCCTCGACGTCTTGAAATATGAAATTTTAAAACGTCCCAGGGGACGAGATCTGGGAAATATAGTTGTTGCTGAACCTGGGGAAAATTTACATCCTGGCTGAAAACAGCTGCACATGCTGGGATGAAGTGGAAGGTGCGTTGCTATGGTGGATTTGCCCAACACCAGACGTATGCAATTTGCCGTTGAACGGAACCTGCAAAAAAAAAAAAAGAATTGAAATAATCATTTTCGAGGGTTCCGTAGATAAGCTAAGAATAAATAGTCCGTGAGTGATCTAAAATTAAAAGAGCATTTTTTTGTTGTGGTAAGATTTGCTCCAAAGCCCAAGTTATATATCCCCAATAAATTTGGCCAGAGTAAGTTATGTCTGTTTAAAGCAATACAAGGAAGAATCATATTTGTTCGGGGAACATCCATGGCCGACGGTAGAACGAAGGTTTTTAGAGAAATGGTGCTTAAATAAAAGCCACTAGCAATCTAGCTGCTTGTAATTCTAAAAAAAAAACATACAGAGAAGAATTAACATGACACAATTAGAGATGGGTATATAATAAATATATAAGATAAATTATGTTTATTTTACGGTAGACGAGTATAGTTCTACTATTTTCAGGCTAATCTTCTTTTTATACTTCAAGTTTTAAACTTATGCGTCTATGCTTTCGATTATTGTTAGATTTTTATTAATTTTGTTATTATTATAGTATCGTAAGAAGATTAAATAAATCCGTTTCTCTGTCATTATGCTCCTTTGGGGAAAATATTCGGCTGAAAGGTGCCACTCTAATCTTATTTAATTAAATGCGTTTTCAAACCAATGACGATACGAGATTTCTAGATTTCATATTTAATATTAAATTTTATTTCACTCCAGAAACTCATCATTGATTCTCGACCAGAAAGTTTTGAGGCCTTGCGGACGTCTCATTTAAATATGGAACTTACATTCACGCCTGCTATTTCTGACAGACTCTCGGTCTCATCTGTAGTGGTTGTTCATATCTGTCACGCATGTAATATCGGGTGCATCTCTCAGGTCGCGTCATCCTGCATGTGACAGCAGAGAGGTTAATTCTGCACCTGTTTTCTTATTGAGTTCAAGTTTTATTTTAACTTTGACCAGAAAATCTTTACCCTTTTATTCAGTTAAATGGAGGTAGGCTGTCGTTGACTAAATAAGGCTTATTCGGCGATTTCCAGCAACGAATTTCCTGTTTCCACAGGTTTAGTTTCACCATGTTGCACCAGAAATACCATCTTTTTTTCTCAGAAAGAAGACACGCGTACCCAGCAGGCTAAGTCATTTTGAAGAAAATATGACTATCTGAAAAAAAAAAAAATTCCTACGTTCATTCATAAGACGTTCATCTCAGAACACCCAAGGACATATTGAAGACGCTTCCGTGGAGGGGCAATTGTTAACATGTATATTGTCATTAGCCCGCGACAAAGATTGATGTACTCTGTATCGTGATACATTATCTTCCACACATTCATTAAATTGATCTTCAATTTTGCTGGTTCGTAATTTTCGAGGAAGCTGGTGTTCAATTTTTGCATTGAATGCTCTGTGACATGACGACGTTTCGACACTTTATCATCCCTCGATCCGCTTCCGGCAAATATTCAAAATAACTGAACGTTAACTCCTCGCAAACAGTAACATTCCAGAAACACCCAGCTGTCGGCCCCCAAACCTTTGTATACATACATCTCACTTTTCGTTTTTCTCAGTTTAAACCTATCTATCTATCTATTTATCTATCTATCTATCTATCTATCTATCTATCTATCTATCTATCTTTCTATCTATCTATATATATATATATATATATATATACATATATATATATATATATGATCCTCTTCATCTATCTATATCAGTCTGATCATTATTTATCTATTTATTGGATTCTGTTCATTATTTATGTCAGTCTGTTCATTATCTATCTATCTATCTATCTATGTGATAATCAGAGTCTCTAGTCGACTTTAGAAAAGGAAACAAAAACGAGTCGAAACTCCTAAATGAATAAACGACGATTTCACTCTTAACAACACTAACAAGGGACGGATTCAAGTGGCGAATGGATTATTTTTGACCGCGCATGTAACGTTGTACTTTGTTGTAAATGTACTTAAAACCATAACTCATTTGAACCGAAATACTCATTTGAAGGTACCTTAAATATATATATGATTAAAAGTTCTATGTATAGAGTACATCATATGTCTCTAATAGCGATTATGTGTTCAACTTACAGACAACCAAATTTAATACCGACCTTATCGCCTTCTAACGAAGTATTGCCCAAGAACGTCTTGAATTTGTAAATTTTACTGACAGGAATTTCTTATTCGATTTACAAAATATATAAAAGAAGATAGCATGTAAATATATGATGACAAATTTCTTTTAAGAAAATTATGAATTTGTTTTATTACATTGCGGCATTTAAATAACCCAGTTTCTATCTTTATTTTTTTTTACAATGATGTTCAACCTGTACAAGACCCGAGTGCCACTCGAGGTAGAGGGTTACAGAGTAAGAGGCATAGTTTACGGGGATATGTGTAGAAGATAACGGTTAACTCTAGTCTTGAGCAAGTTAAGATTGTAGTGATCGGGGAAGCACCCACTTGGGAGTAGATTCCACAAAGCAGAGTTTCGTCGGAAAATGTTAACCGGTTGGGACTTAAATTTCACCAATGGAATACGAAAGGAATCGTGGCGGATCTTAGCCGTGAAGCTTAGAATGTGGAAAGAAGAAATGTATTTCGTCTGAGCAATTTTCCATGGAAATAGCGACGGAGAAATGTACAGTAGGGTAGAAAATAATTTGTCACCCACAAGGACGAGGATGCGCTTTTGATCTCTATCTTTCCTAGAAAGAGAAAACTGGGTAGCTCCTGTCCATATAGCGGAACAGTACATTTTTTTCGTCCTTATCTGGATCTTGTAAAGTTAGAGGATTGCGAGAGTTTCCAGATAATTGCAAGAATGACATAGGAAACTTCCAATTTTTGCAGCATCTTTAACGAATGATCGCATGTACGAGTTTAAATTGAGGTCTGGGTATAGTCGAAGATCTAAAAGTCGCTCAAGGCGTTGGGGCTCCCCGGGGTAACATCCATTCGTCCTGATTGGGTTATGGTGCACATAAAAAATGTTCAATTTCTAGCAATTCTTTATATTAATATTATTTAATTAAATGCGCTTTCAAACCAATGACGAAACGAGATTTCTAGCTTTCATATTTAATATTAAATTTTATTTCACTCCGGAAACACATCATTTATTCTCGACCAGAAAGTTATGAGGCCTTGCGAACGTCTCATTTAAGTATGGAACTTACATTCGCGCCTGCTATTTCTGACAGACTCTCGGTCTCATCTGGAGTGGTTGTTCATATCTGTCACGCATGTAATATCGAGTGCATCTCTCAGGTCGCGTTATCCTGCATATGACAGCAGAGAGGTTAATTCTGCACCTGTTTTGTTATTGAGTTCATGTTTTATTTTGATTTTGACCAGAAAATCTTTTCCCTTTTATTCAGTTATGTGGATGTTGGCTGTCGTTGACTAAATAAGGCTTAGTCGGCGATTTCCAGCATCGAATTTCCTGTTTCCACAGGTTTAGTTTCACCATGTTGCACCAGAAATACCATCTTTTTTTCTCAGAATGAAGACACACGTACCCTCCAGGCTAAGTCACTTTGAAGAAAACATGACTACGTTAATTCATATGTCGTTCATCTCAGAACACCCACTGACTCATTGAAGATGCTTTTTCGTGGACGGGCAATTGTTAACGTGTATATTGTCTATCTTCTCGGATAGTGATATTTTGCACTCTCTAGGCAAGAACAGAAAACTCTTTTTAGACGTAGATCGATGTTTTTTTTCTTCTTATATGTATGTGCAATCCATTTCATAGCTTATGAATTTCTCCTCCGTCTTCTAAACATCGCACTGGACCTGACTATTGCACAATTAATATACAGCTAACATTGTAGAAAACGTGTCACCAACAAACTAAACAAAAGCTTAATATTTTTCAAAGACATACATCATATTACTCTTAGAAGGAGATATTAGGTTTTGTCAGGTTCCTTGATTTAATAAACACTTGATACGTAATGCAATGTTGAATATAAGTTACAATGAAATAATAGATACGCACACATTGATCCAATTGTTTGAAACAGGCTAGAAAATACCAAACTTATATTGCGATTCTCTCTCTTTACAAATCTCAGATTAGACCCAGAATAGAATATTACTACGATATCTGGGCTGTTGCTGGTCAGTCTTCACTTTCCAGCGGCCACAGAATCCAAAAAGCCATTAAACAGCCTTGTGGGTGATGGATTCATTCTCACCAGGCAACAGACGAAACGTTTTGAGTCTCTCACTAATCTGTTGCTATTCTCAGAGCAGTCATTTGGACCAGTTGACTTCCTTAGATCCACCAGTTCAGATCTTCAAAGCAAGGATCTGCCATGCCGCGTTTACGGTGGAAAATCACTCCCTTCGTGATCATTTATAATAAGTAAGTTCCATATATAAAGCGTATAGACCAGAACTGTTTCTTTATTGAAAAAAATTCTCGAAAGTGTGCTTCCCTGACAACTGCACCCTTGGTCTCTTCAAGTTCAGAGTCAACTGATATCTATCCTACAAGTCGTGATAATATACACTTCATAATTCCCCCAAAACCAAAACTTTTCAGTAATCCTCTACATTGAGTGACCCTTAGGCCATTTATTGGTTGAACTATCATTATCAATTTTTGCCCTACAGTTTATACGTGTCTACAGGTTCAGTTTATAATCAAGTTCATAGATATACGTTTTATGTATAGGTCATGTTTATACTAGAGTCTGCATACTTTCATATGTCAGCTTAGAAGGTCCTTACCCCATTCCAGGAGATAAAAACAACGATTTCTTTTCTCTAAAGGCTTTTAAATGACCTCCAAAGCTAAAAGCTAGCGAATCACCCTGAAGCGTGTGTAGGTTAAGAAATAACGGAGGAGACCTGGGAATGATAGGCCATAAGTTGTGAATGAAAACCAGGCAGTAAGTTAAAATCACGTCTTATAAGCTTAGAATATCTTAATAAATCACAGTTTCACAGGTGTAGCGCATTGAGATGAAGCTGACTTACTTTTCTTGTGATTACATTGTTGATCCTCTTTGATTATTATTGATGTGAGGTGAGTCA